TTTTTTTTGTTGTTTTAATTCGTTAAAGACGAAAGCCGACAATTATAATAAAGTATTAATTAAAAGGTGAATTCAAATTAATTTACTTTTAAAAATGTGAATGATAAAAAAGAAAACAAAATTAAAGACGAGAGTAATCGTCCTTTAATATTTTGTCAACTTTCGATTTTAGCTAACGACACTCCCCACTATTGCGTATAGATTAGATCTAGCTAGATATTATACATTTATACTCATAGATTGAATAAAAATAAAGGGTAATAGTAAATAAATTATGCCTTTCGCCTTCGATACGATTCTTTATTGTGGTGCACCCGTAGCCTGACAAGACAAGTCGGTCACAAAACAAAGTGATCTTGCCATTCTTGGTCGACTTGGTCTTGATTTTGATACTTGACTTGATAATAAAATAAATGATGATACTATACTGATAGATTGATACTGTTCATACTCATACTGTGGTCTGTGATGCTCAGATACTGATTATCTTATAGATCTACCTGATAGTCACTCAGTGTGATACTAGATTTAGATCTTATGTAGTTTTCTATCAAGACTTTAGTCTAGAAAGGAGAAATCTAGAATAATAATTTAATAATAATAAATATATGATAATATATATATAAAATATACTAATAATAGCCAATATAAGATACATCAATATAATAATATATCCACACCCCAAGGTACAAGGCAGCTTTAGCTTAGGCTTGGCAAAATATTATTACATCTGAAACATGTTACATTTTCATTCTATTCTAGATCTCTCTTTCTTCGAGCCCCCCCCCCCCCCCCTCTCACTCACATATATATATATATATATAATTTTAGATGATTATTATTTGTTTTAAAAAATGTGGTGTGAGATAAAACTGTTCAGAAATTAAGAAAAAAAAAGCCCTCAAACTTATGATTTTTATAAAGAAAAGACATTCAATTTAAAAGTAGATCTTAGTTAAAGATCCAAAATGTTTTTTATTTTAATGTATATGATGAGACACAATATGTTTTTCCTGGTTAACTCATTATCCTTTCTTTTTTATTTCTATTTGTAACATAACAAAAATGTAGCAAAGAATCTTTGCAGTACATTGAAAAGTAATGCCAATGGTTCAGAGAGTACTTTCTTCTTGCCTCCAAATTTTCTGATGTCATGGTGTTTATATATATTACTGGTAGTGCCCAATAAACTTGGCATGTTAGTGATAGTCTCAGTACATTATTGTCTTCAATATTGACAAAACTCACTGTCAAGCTTGGTATGGTATTTTGGTCTGTCAACATGATATTGTCCAGAATTTTTATCCTGACCACTGCCATCCCCCGCTGACCTGCAGGAAGTTTGGGTTAGGATGTAGTATTCTTTTTGAATGAATGTTCAAAAAATATATAAACTAACTGTCAAAATAAAAGTCTGATAAAGTCAAATTTTTGCTTGCAGATTTATTTGTAAATTGTCATGTCTTTACTCCTGAAACAAAAGTGTAGAAGTTTAGTTTTTTAAATAGAATATCACTTAACACAAAAACTTAGTGCCAATTTTTAGATGTATTTTTTCATTAATATTTCTTTGGTTGTGCAATAGCATTACATAAACACTGAGAATAACAATTATAAAATTTCAGGAAATTTTGAAACAGAAAAATGAAATTCTGCATGCTTGCATTGTTGCAAGTTTTAAGCAAATCTGTTAGGATGAACTAAAGCAGTTTACTAAAATGGGCAGACTTTGAATCATCATTTTAATGAGTTTTTTTTTTTTTTAGATACAACAATAAATTTAAATAAGAATAATATTGTGATTAAAACATGAATATGCACAAAACATGACAATCTTCTTTTTGAAGGAACATTTGGTAATCATAATAATTTGTTTCTGAAAACCTCCTCATTATTGACCATTGAGTCAATTGTTTTTAGTCGTAAGTGTCTAAACATGCAATGTGAATGCTATTTAAAATAGTTCTAACAATAATCCAGCCTTCTGTGAATGTGAGGGTGAATACATTTAAATCTCTAGCAAATTGGAAATTGTGTATATTTAACAAACTCAGTTCTTTTTTCACTGATTGCACTTTGCATTCAAGGTAGGCAAACATAATTTTGCTTGAAAATAAATATGCTTACACTTTATATAATATAACATTATTATTATTTTTATCTATCTCGACTTTGACTTAGCTTTTGAAAAGCTTTGGTTGGTCTTGTAGCTTTGCTCAAAACAACAGAAACTGCAAGTGCTGTACATTTCATTAATTATTGTTTGGCTAATTTAAATTTATTTAGTTTTGGCTTTTATCTTTAGAATGTCCACTTCCTCTTCACAAAGGCGAATCCCAGATGACTCTATTCAAGAAGAATTCGTTCATGTTGGCAAAGTGAAGACTGCTGTCTTAAAACTTGGACACTTCAAAGATTCACCTTCTCCAGGAAACCAAAAAGTTTTAATGCTAATTATACCAGGTAGCCCTTTACGGTAATTCAGTAATACACACACATACATTTATTTAATACTACCGTGTATTTCTAGACTCTAGTTCAATTAGTCAATTTTATCTTCTATCTTTATTTTTCTTAATATTATATACAATTTTCAGATAGAGGGTAATTTCTTTTTGGCATACTATTAGTCTGTTGAAGTCTTTTGCATGAACACTGGGCCCACTAGAAGACATTACAACTGTCTTAAATGTCTCTTGGAGGTGTGGTGGTTGAGTGGCTAAGCGCTTGGCTTCTGAACCTGGGGTCCTGGATTCAAATCTTGGGACTTTCAATTTCAGGATTTTTAGGGTGTCCCTGGGACCACCCAACTCTAAAGGGTACCTGACTTTAGTTTGGGGAATTTAAAGGCAGTTGGTCATTGTTCTGGTCGCATGACACCCTGGTCGTTAACCGTTGGCCAAAGAAACAGATCTTAACATCATCTGCCCTATAGATCACATGGTCTAAAAGGGGAACTTTACTTTTTTATACTTAATTTATGTCAACTGTCAGCCATAGAAACAGCTGACCTTTACATCTTCTGCCTAATAGATCTGCAAGGTCTGAAAGGGATACTTACAGGGCTAACAAAAGAAGTTGAATGGCTCAACCAATGGGCATCATAAATAAAGGGCGAGTTATTTACAAAAAATTACAGTGCCAAACTAACTCTACATATCAATTTCTTCCCCCAAAAAGAGCAATCAACAATCTTTCAATTCGGAACAGGACACAGATCTTCAAATGTTTGCCTAAATATAAACACACCCATGCCACTGTAGAAACACTGTGCCCACACTTATGAAACTGAATAATACCCTCTTTGATGCCCTATTTTAATTACCACAGCCCAACATAACCAATACTTTGTATGGCAGAACAGATGAAAACAAAAAACTGCTTACTATGTTTTCTTGACACAGACTGAAAAAGAACTTACAGCCCAGCAGCAAAAAAAAAAAAATGCTGGCAAAAAGAAGAATACCGTACTGACTTTATTTACAACTTTTGCTATTCCAATTTTGAGATTGTTTTTTTTCAAGAAAAAATATAATTGACTAAGCAAAACTCTGGCGTAACAGGATTGGATAATTTTGAACTTAATTTGGACTGAAGCTACACAACCATTCCTTTTAAATCGTACATGTAGTCTTATTAGGGGAGATAATGAAAGTGTTTTTCTATTATCCAAACCTTTAAGTCTGTGTCTATCATTCCCTTTGTTTCTTGCTAAACAAATGTTAATATCCCAACATGTCTTATAATGTTTGTTTAGGTAACCCTGGGGTGCCATACTATTATGAAGACTTCATGCAAGAACTTTACAGTCACTGTGACTTTCAAATACCAGTCTGGGTTCTAGGTCATGCAGGACATGTTCAGCCCCCTGGAGAAAGACTCTCTTTACAAGACATCTGTGAGTTTAAACTAGTTGTATAATTGGTTTTTATGTGATTATATGTAAATATTAGGAATATTTCTTTAATAAACTATTTAATTTCAATAATAATAATTTGCATTCAGTTTACTACCAGCATAAATCATTAACAACAGTAATGTTATAATAATCAGCTATAAATTATGATGATTTTTTCCTTTTTGTTTCTCATGTACCATATAGGTTCTACTTCAGAACAAGTGTATGGACTTGAAGCCCAAATCTCACACAAAGTTGAGTTTATTCAGAATCATGTTCCTCGTGCGGTGAAACTTATTCTGATCGGCCATTCCATCGGCAGTTACATGATATTAAATATATTGGATAGTCTGCCATCTGACCAGATACTAAGATGTTTCATGCTCTTTCCAACTATTGAACGTATGTCCTCATCGCCAAATGGAATTAAAATGACACCTGTTTTAAGATATATGCGCTGGCTCATCATTTTTACTGCATTCATCATTTCACTTTTGCCAAAGTATCTGCATGTTCACATTTTTAAATGGTGGTACAAAGACTTAGATTGCCCATCATGCACTCTTAAAGCCATTCTAGCTACCATTAACCCATGGACAGTTAACTACACAACATACCTGGCTAAACTGGAAATGGACAAAGTAATGTTATTACAGGAAGAACTGATCAAAAAGCATGTAGACAAGCTCAGTTTCTACTATGGCGCTAATGACCACTGGGCCCCACCACAGTATTACTATGACCTGATGAAACGGTTTCCGCATTTAGACGCTAGGCTCTGCACCTTGAATTTAAAGCATGCTTTTGTGCTGGACACTCAGGAAGGACGTGAAATGGCTAAAATAGTGTGGCTGTGGGCCCAGTCCCATCACCGCACAATTCTGCTTTCACAAAATGATGATGATGAAGGCTGGGTGTTTGATACATGAGGCAGCTAAAGGAAGTGAATTATTCTTAACAAATGTTCCACTATTTATTGACTGTATTGTATTGATTATATTTCATTTTAAAACAGTTTTATACTTTCTATGTACCAGTATGTGTAGAAAAAAAAAAAAAAAGCTGATTGTACAAATAAAAAAAAACAACTTTTATTGTCTTACAGAACAATAAAACAGAGTTGTCTTCTCACTTATCTTGGTGATGGTGTCATGATATAAATAATAATAAACAGAATTTATGGATAAATACCAACTACTTTGGTAAAGTTAAAATTCTAAGTTGTAATCAAAATACTGTATTAAATACCAATATCAACACATTTTCTTAATCTTTGATATTTCATAATTCTGAACTATTTATTCAGTCATCCAATGGCTAGTAAGAAACAACCTTTATAAATGAACAGTAATTCAAACACTTGCTTAAACATAGTTCTGGCAAATTGAAAGGCATAGGGTAGCAACAACAGAAGGAGTGAAATCTGTAGCAACATAATAGGGAAAACATGACAAATGGCACTAAAGCTACTTACTTTAAGATATTAAGTATGATAATAAAATGTTTGGCTCCAATAACTTGTAATAGTTGACCATTCCAGACTTTCATAGACAAGATAACCAGATTTTTTAAAAAAAGCTATACATTCATGCATCATCCATTAAAATTTATCTTTTCTAAGAGGTCAAACATTGGAGAACACTCCTTTTAACTTAATGAAATCACTAGCAAGCCTCATACAAAACAAAATGTTTGAGTTGCATGCAATTGACATAAAAAAAAATATTTATTATTTCTGAACAAGTACACTCTTTTTAAAGTTAAATGACCAAATAAACAAAACACAAAAGCGACGAACTGACACTTGTGTGTCCTAACTTAAGCAAGCTGTGTTAAAGACAACACATGAATACAATCCTCAACAAAAAAAAAAAAAAAGAAAAGTGGTTTGTAGATTTAATGAACACAATTTTCAGTAGTTATTAGAAGTTTAACAAAAATGTGTCTGAGACTTGTGAACTATATCTAATCCATTAATAAATAGTAATAATTAAATAATATGTAAATAGCTTCCTAATTTTACGAAAGCAGCTACAGCACAGGGGCATTTGAATTAATCTTCTAAGAAGACCAATTTCAATTCAGTAAATTAACTTCAGTTAGAAATGAATGTTTGTAATTAAAAAGATTAAAGTGTAATAGGCAATGAATACTAAGAACATGGCAAAGTACCAGAATCTATTTTTGTTTGCTTTTTTAATTTTATGGTACAGCAAATAGCTCAGGAACCAAGTATTCATTAATATACACATACAAAATTTCCACTGGTCTATAAATTAATTTCAGAATTTGAATTGTGTTGACCACTAGCTATCAACAGTATCATTCCCATCAAACTTGAGACAGACTTTTCCCATGATGGAAGATCTCTTATAGTTTCTCACTACATTTAAAATTATATGACTTTTCTAGTAAAGTTCCCCTTTCAGACCTAGTGATCTATAGAGCATATGATGTAAAGGTCATCTGTTTATGCAGCCCATGGCTAATGTCATGTAGCCAGCAACCTATTTTTTGTTTTGAAAACAAAACATTGTTTTATTTACATTAAATGTCAACTATAAATTAAATGGTAAGAGAAACATTACATTTATGTCAGTACCAAACTTCCTTATTGTATTAGTCACAAATATAATGCACAGTTAGTTATAAATATATTGTAGCAGTATAATTTTAAATGAGTTCAAACTAGAGTTGAACAGTTTTCATTATAGGAGCTACCGATGGCCAGAAACAAATTTTAGCCATGTTAAATAACATTCAGAACCTTGAAACAAGCACTCCCACACATTTTAAACATTATGACACAATAAAATATGAGTACAATAATGATTGTAATACAATTCACCAGTTCCAAAAGTGCTCTAGCACTACTGTTTGTGTGCCTTGAGACATTATCAACATTCAAACTATACACCATCAGATCTCATAAAAACATGAAATATCTATTTCTAAATATACTGAAAATTATAAAAAAAATAAATTTCAAAATGACATTTAAAAAACATTTGCCCATTAGCTCACTTCTTTGTCAGAAAAAGGCGAAGCTAAAAGAAATGACAATGGAGCAAAGTAAAATTTGCTACTAGCGTCATTAGAACATCATCAGGATCTTTTTAGAGAGAACTTCCTTTATGACTGATGATCTATGATTCAGAAGATCATGTCTCTCATTCTGAGCAGAACTGATGAAAACAAGTTGGAGTACAAATTAACAAAATTCTTTGTGGTTTGTAAAAAAAAAAAAAACTAAAATTACAAAACTATAAAACAGTTTTCTTTATATCATAAGTATTTACACATTAAATATGACGTTCAAAGTAATGGGGAGCTTAGGAGTCTGGGTGTTGTGGAAAGGTAAGGAAGTGAAACCAAGCTCTAATGACTGCAAAAACTATAAAACAAACTCAACACCGCAAGTATGTCATGAAAAGACTGTGTACCATAAAACAGAACACATCATGCACAAATAAAAGTGTACGACAATTCAATGATAAGACAGTATGTACAATTTTAATGGGCTAATCTAGTTCCTTTAAAAAGTTCTATTCAGATGAATTTAATTAAATTTCTATTGCCAACAATATGTGCAAGTACCAATCCTTTAAAATTTCGATACTATAAGCGAAATTCAAATATAAAACTAGTAAGTTGTTTTTTAATAACATATTTACAAAGCAAACTGAGTCAATGGCTACACAATTGGTCAAGAGGATCTTCAAATACCTCAGGACTAAATACAATGTTGTTTTATAAAGAGAGAACACTAAATAGGTCATGTCAGTTTTGTGTTGATCCTTTAGGATGTTGTCATTTTAGGATGCTGTCAGATTCATAAACAGAAAAATTGTTCACAAATATGGCACTCAAAATATTTTTTACAAAGAAATATCAACAGACTTTTGTGAATGTAAAAACAACCAAGGTCAAATTTAAGCTAGCATTCTCTAACATTCTATTCAATTTTATTTACTTTAAAAAAAAAAAGAAATAATATTTTTTCTTTACAAAAAATAGCCTCTAGCCACTAAAGAAGAGGCAATACACTGCAGACAGTGAAGACTCAATATTTATCTTTAATCTATTGAGAGATAAAGAAACTATCCTTATCTTCCAAATTTCCATTCTTGGGAATTTTCAAAATTTCCTTTCAGTATTAACCAGAATTTATTCATGTGTTTTTACAAAGCTACTTGTAGAGATTAATTTGATAGAAAGTCAATCTATAACTTGTTTTAAAAGCATTTTATCTTCCATTTAGACACCAAAGTTTGGCTATCCCTATACTAATGACTAACAAGCATTTTTATATACAAGAACTTTTCCAATAAGAAACTGAACAAGGAACTCAACATTTAAATTAGAACAAATTAACATCAAGAGATACCATGAGATTCATGCTATAAATGTTTGGTAAACATCTCACCGGAATATTGTAGAAAAAAAACTACTAAATCAGATTTAGAATTAAAAAAGAAATTAAAATGATTTTAATGTACAAGGTCAACTGAAAAATTTTTAAAAAATTCAGCTTAAAAAAACTGAAAACAATAAACACAAATTTTTTTTTTAATGTTTTAAAAAGTTTATGGTGATGCCATAATGCATGCATTTCATCTCTGCAAGCAATCCATCTCGACATTTTGTTATTTATAAAAAATGTAAAATAAGGATTTTGTTTTAAAATGATTTTTCAATACGTTGCAAATTTATCATAGCAAACCCAAAAGAACTCACATTTAGATAGCAGGTTAACGCAGTGTGGTTGTAAAATTCCATGTGTCGTATCGTCTACATTGCTAAATGAAGAATTTTTAAGTAAGAATCCTACTTTTTTTTTTTCCCAGAATTTTTTAGTCAATTTTTATTGTTACATAAACAAGAGAATTTTTTCAAAAGAAAAAATGGGTGAATAAGTAAAAGGTAAAAAGAGGCAAACAAAATCTTTAATATTTTATGAACATTCAGGTCTGTCGGATAAAAAATAATTGGTTTTACATTAAAATGATAAGTTTTAAAAAAAAAATTCCAGAAATTAAAAGATTCGCATCTTACGTTTAAAAAAATAGAAATATTTTTTACCTTAAACCATTGTAGCTGTTGTCTTGTTATAAAACATATATTCAAGTATCACAATATTCAGTCATTACGTTATATAAAAAAAGGTTTTCAATTAAATGATACACTCTTTATTAAATTTTTAAAAATCATTTTAATTAAATTGAAGAATGATTTAAGTTGTATAACTTTCTGCAAAAATCCAATCTAAGATATACATTTTCTACAGTAAAATTTTTTTTTTTCTATAGAATTCCAAAACTCAAAATCAGCTTGAGAAAACATAATTGTACAATTATATATATATTTTTAATTCTGAAATATAAGCAAGGGTAAAATAATGGCAAATATGAGATACAATGAAGGACTTAAGAGCTTAAGCCCACAGCATACATTTAGGTTTTAATTATACACTCCAACCAAAGCAAAATGTCTGTTTTGACTAGAAAAGAACAAACAAAAAAAATACAAAAGAAACAGGGGTATAGAGTAATATATAGAATTGATTAAATAATCTTATAATGTTACTGACATGGCTGTAGTTCTGTTAGTACTCAGTAAAGATGTCCTCTCATTCAAAGCTCGTCTGAAGCTGTCCCTTTTCCAACCATACACAATACTGTTCAAGATTCCTTGCAATGGTCCAAAGATAGCCTGCAATATATATTTCATTTAAACAATTTACTTACAATTGCCTCCATTTAAGAAACATAATAATAATAATGGCAAAATCTTTGATTTCAAAGATTACGGATGAGTGCAATATTTCGTTTAACTACCCAAGCCCAGTTGTGACCCACATATTTTGCCACAACTAATGCAGAAAAAGCTATTGTCCCTAGGGAGCTATTTAAGTTTTCTTTTCATTTTCTAGGCCTGTCCTTGGCAAGGGGTTTTCAATGAGACTCAAATGTGTATCCAGCAACCTTTATGAGAACTCTCCAGCTGTCCCTTTCTGAAGCCATATACTGCCAGCTGCTTTCCAGTGAAGGCCAAATGGCAAATAAACATTACACAAACATTATATAACAAAAATACTGTGCCACAGTTTTAGCTGCTTTAAGATGACCAGATCAACTCTGTGCAAACTCAGAGCATTAGCCAACTGATTCTTTGATATACCTAAAACTCTAGCCTAAGGCTAATTCTAGTAAACTTTAACATAGAAACATTATTTCCTACAAGTTTAAATCAATATGTTACCTGTATGACAAGCAGCCAGAAAAATTCAGCCATAGAATAAGATGTGAATAAAGAAACTATTCCAAGAATCACAGCTGAAAACAAGGAATTCAATTTTTACTGATACTTGTAAAAAAATAAGGAAAAAGAAAAAAAATCACTCTAAAAAGTGCAGTAAATACTTGCACATGTTATCCCTAAAATGACTACTTTAAAGGATGACAGGGGATGGCTGCAGGCAAGTGCTGACCAGGCAGCTATGATTCCTGTTAAGTCTAGAATTTTCCTTTCATGATTTCTAGACATTTCTTGTCCACCAAACAACTGACTCAAAAATATCACTTTTATCTTTTGGTGGTCTCCCTTGTGGACAGTAAAAAAAAAAAAAAAAAAAAAAGCAAAATGCTAATGCTATTGACATGCAGAATAAATAAAAAATGAACATTTGAAAATCTTTATGTCAAAACAAATTTGGAGTACTGACATTATTGAATTCACTTAATGTTTATGTATTACAACTCAATGTCTTGTTCAAATTATGAGTAGTACAATTTTATTACAGTTTTGCTATCATCAGTTTTGTTTTTTTAAGTTAGCTATAAACCCTAATGTATTACCTGAACGACTCCTGCATGGCC